TGCTGACAGCACATATGGAATGCCTCTAGCCGCTCCAAGTGTGCTTGTAGGAAGTGTGACACTGGAAGACCAGATGTCAACTCATGTCAAGGCCCCTGGGCCTCACTGAATATTGACAAATGTATAGCTGGAAACCAGTCTGGCTCAGCTGTGTGTGAGTACTGTTAAAACAGATTTTAGAGTTATAAGAATGTGTTTAGTCTTTATAAAATGTTTGTAGGATGCTGTATGTAGTTATCTTATAACCTGGGATACAGATATAAGTAAGATAACATTTAAGTGTTCGCAACTGTAAAAATGTTTGCTCAGGCTGTAAACCCCCACAGTCAAGTGAGATACTAGTTTACCACATGAGGTGTCCAGGGCTGCCCGGGGGGGGGAGAAGGGGGGCAAATGGGGCAATTTGCCCCAGGCCCTGCAGGGGCCCCCATGAGAATATAGTATTCTATAGTATTGCAACTTTTTTTAATGGAAGGGGCCCCCAAAATTGCTTTGTCCCAGGCCCCCTGAATCCTCTGGGTGGCCCTGGAGGTGTCATCTTCTCCCCGACAAAAGAAGGTCAAACAGAGAAGCCATTGTGGAACATCAGTGGACAAAAGACTTGGTTGATTGCTTCCCCCACACCCATGAAGAGGGTATGTGTGTACAACCCCTCATCCCATCTCTGCTTGAACGCTGGGTGAGGGAATAAAGATCCCTGTCTAGGAAGAATTGTGATGACTATACTGCTTGTAATTTGGAGACAGCAAAATTTTTAAGCATAAGCAAGGGATCCCCAAGCTGCTTGGCTTGGTTAGCCCTAAAGGACATACAGAGCTTGCATATTATACCAGCTAGTATAACCTTTTGGAACTTAAGACTGTATCTTATTTGTGTATATATGTTTACCTGCTTTAACCTTATAAATAATTATCTTACTACTTTTTCTTAATAAATCATTAGTATTATAGGATTGGCTACAAGAGTTGTCTTTGGTTTGAGATCTGAGGTACAATTGACCTGGAGTAACGTGAATATTTTTGGACTAGGAGTCACCTGAATATTATTGTGATTTTTGTTGTAAGGGGCCATCTATCACAACAGCAGACTTGCCTGGGTGGCAAGATAGACCAGAGTGCCCAGGAGGATTGTCTATGACTCCACGTTAAGGGTATTATAGTGCTTTAGGAGTTCACGCTTATTACTGGGTTGATGAAATCTAATTATAGAATTTAAAACCAGTTTGGGGTTTGCACCTTGTTCCTTGACAGTCTGCCCTGAGATTGGCATTCATGCTTGTGAGCTACTCAAGATAGCTTGACAGGAAGGTCCAGGGTTCTGACCCATATTGCAATACTGGTAATACACAGGTTTGATAGATCCTGAACTTTGTTTCAGTGGAAAGACATTTTTTGCACCCATCTCTCTCACCTCTGCAGAGCAACAGTCTATAGATGCAGTTGTTCGTCCATAAGCCATCTCAAGGCCTCCTCCGTTACACTGTGGATATCATCCAATTCACCTTTCAATTCATATTTGGGTCACTGCATTATGATGTATTTGATGGTTTGGATATTCTCACCGCAGTCGCACGAAGGGGATTTTCCACTTGTGTATCAAGTAGCCTCATCTTCCATGGTTTGTTCAGATGAAGTTCAGTGTGGTCCAAAGTCTGTGTGGCATGTCAAAACCAGGAGGGTGGCTTGCTGGGTAAGTAGCAATGTGTTTGTTTGAAATGGTTGATGAGGTTCCAGACACTTTGCCATTCCCTGGCCAGATCTAGAGACATGAGGTGGTCATGTGTGGTGCACAGTAGTTTTCATGATTTCAGGTGTTTTGGGGGCATGTTATCCATAACCAGTTGGATCGGAAGTTCTGGGTAGTCTTTGGCACATTTAAGTTCTCATGCTGTGGCTATATCTTGGCTGATAGCTGGATGTTCAATGTTTGCTAATACAGAAAGTCACAGTAGAGGTGTTGATTTTAAAGTTCCCATGATGATTTTGCATGGTTTGATTCAGCTGCTCATCCACAAGTTGGGTATGGCAATTTCTTGTCTACACTTGTGCACAGTACTCTGCAACTCTGCCGAGACCAATGTTCATAGCACTGAGGCAGTTGATTCCCAGCTTGTTCCCACTAACTTCTGAATAATATTGATGCAAGTCTTACCTTTAGAGGCTACTTTCTTGAGGTGGTCATGAAAGGTCAGTGAGCAGTCAAGAATGACACGGAGATATGTTAGTTTTGGGTCATAACAGTTTCACGACAAAACTCAACAGTTAGTGTTTTGTGTGATTGTATTGTCAAGTGGGGAAATAGAAACTACTGACTTGCTTGGATTTGATCTCATCTTCCATCTTTGGAAGTACTCCATGATCGTATCATCAGATGTTAAGGTCACTTCAAGCTCTTTAAAGCTATGGGCCTAAGTTGCAAGTGCCAAATCATCAGCATACTCAAACTTCTGAGCTATCATTTC